GGAGCCGGAAACGAGATGCCCGGGGGCTCCAAGAACCCTGATATGGGGAAACCTGATCCCGAAGAGGAGGATATCTGCGCTATATGCCGGGGACCCAAGCACAATCCGATCTTCGTGAACTGCGGCCACTCCTTCTGCAGCGTGTGCCTGGATAACCTGGTGTACTCCCTGCGGTTCCATTTGTTCCGCAGGTGCCCGCTTTGCCGAGAGTTTATTTACGACTCGGGGGAGTCTGATAATACATTGGACTTATCAGAATGTACCTTCTCAGACGATTAAATGTAGAGGATATAATTGGCGCTTGACAATCTGGACTGTGATTTTGATGTCGACTTGGATGTAACTTCGAGGCGGACATTGATGCCTTTGACCGGAAAATGCCAAAATAATAAAAAGATAAAAGCAACAACGTTGAAACAAAATCGCACACGTCTAAACAATAAAATGAAATTTTTGGGGGCAGTAAGAGAAAATTGAAACAGTTCACCCGAGAACTCAGAGCCACGAGAGTTGGGTGTGTTGGGAATGTCCCAACAAGATTTGATTTTTATCGCGAGTATATTTGAATTTTATTGCATACGTAATGCTCTCAGATAGAATCGCCGGCCATAAAAGCGACTGGAGCCAAAGGAGGACGACTACCATTGCCAATCCAATTCAATCCTGGCCAATCCGATTCTGGCCAGTACGTTTCCAGGTTTTAGCCCGAAAATGGTTGGATAACGAGCCAGGATTTGAAACGGTGTTTGGGGGTGGCGTGGTATGAGAGAACTCCATTTCTTGGCCACGTTGGCGTCATTTTCCACGCAATAAAATAAACATTCAAAACGAAATCAACTTAAACGCCTCACACTCGCACTGAGACACACACACACCCAGCTGACCCAAAAGGATAACCGCCTTAACCCCTTGGGTCCAACTTACTGACCATTCCTCAATGTGGCACATTTAATTTTATGCTTATTTTTATGTCACTCTACTTGGCAGTGAGATACTCTATCATTGGCGAGGGTTATATTGGTATAGGGATAGGTTGGGGCTTATAGGGTACTATTTTGTGGATTTGGTTCTTGAGTTTTCTTGTGGAGAGTAGTAGTGTTGCTTTTAGTAGTAGCTTTTAGAAAATATATCTCCCAAAAGAACATGCCTACTATTTTAGACTATTACCTAGAAATAAATGCCTATTTATTTTTGGCTTGTATTTAAAGTTTTTCTTTAAATTTATAAATCTTTATATTTAAACTGTAGTTACTTTAACTGATTCTGGTTACTAGCTGGTTTTTTTTACTAGTTACTGGCTCTTAACTAGCTTTTAGAAGATAGCTTATAGAAGATAGATAGATCTCCTAAGGAGAAATTATTTCTGCACTAAGATTTTTCTACTTAGAGAAGTATATAACTACGTAGGATATAGGTATTGATAGGATATATGGTTTTGGTTCTTAAATTTTCCTATAGAGAATAGAACATATAAAACATATATAGAATCCTTTGCAGAAAATAGAGCTCCCAAAAGAATATTTAAAATTCTATTTAAATTGGTATAGCACTAGTATCCTGAGTTTTCTTTATTATATCTTAAGTTTTATTTTTCTTAGACGGAAATGGAAATCTTTTTAATGACAATCTTCCTAATCTTCTTCTGCAATAAGCTATTCTTACTTAAATGAGAATAAGATAGTTAGAGTTTATGATAGTCTCTTTCTTATAAAGACCAGTAGTATATCTCATATGGAATATACCTCCCAAAAAAGAGCCTTTAAAAGTCGACTCGTTTAATGTAATTTTTATATTATTCTGCCGTGACGTTTGTTGTGTTTTATTTTATTTCTGGAGTAAGAGAATGACCCCCGGAACGGGTCAGAAACTTTCAATGGCCAGTGGCCGCAAATCCCCCGATTCAGCTGCCGATTTCGATTCCACCGTCCAATCTCGGATGGCCAACTCGGCTGACTGACTTGGCTAATAGTTTGGGTAAACAAGGAGCGAAAAAAAGGGTTGATTTAATAAGTTGAACCGATTCGATTTCTATTATCTGCCCGCCTGGATGGCTGGGACGCCTGGACCCAAATCAAATGCGTATTTATCGGGACTTAATGGGCCTGGCAATGGGTATTATTACCAGGGACGGGGTAGTATGGCCTATACTGTACAGAAGACACAACGTTGTATGGGAACACCCACGAGCTGGCACACAAAAACCAAAGTGCCTTGGCCACAATGGGTTTGGGTTTCTGGCTTTCTGACTTTTTGGGGGGTTTCCCTTTCTATTACTGCCTGCCCCTCCCCCTACCCATCTCCGCTATTCTTTCTCTCCAAATGTTACAGAAGCCGTAAACAATCGTAAAACGTCTCAAAATGAAACCGAATGGATAGATACATCTACATCTACAAGTCTAGTTTCTGGATTGGGACGACAGGAAGAGGAAACGACAATGCCTCGGCTCTCCGTGTGTGGTGACATCATCGGCCAAAATGCCAAACAACAATTACCCGGGGCCTGTTACCATTTTCCCTTCGTGTCATTGTTGTTGGCCCCCATTGATTGCTTCATTCTCGGCCAGCAACGGGTAAGAGAGTCTAGTCAGGGACGAAACAGTGGCCCGGAGCACTCGTGGCGCGGATGAGTTATGGCCACCCATGGGTCGACCCAAGCGCATCGCCACTCTCCACAATGAGATCAACAGAGTGTTTGAGGAGATCCTTGGTAGCCTTTGATTTATACTGCGGATGCGTCCGCAGTCCTGCCAACGACAGTTGGTCTCATAAATGTCCTGGGGAAACAGCTGCTAAAGCCTCTGGTATAGTCATCGGTTGTTGTATGTGGATATATCTTGATAGAAGGTGGTATTTTTTATTTTTTAAATATTTTTCCAGAGAATTCTGGATGAAATATACGGATCACTCTACGTAAAAGATGTTGTTGTACCCTCGCTGGGGGTATTATAGTTTTGGTCAAGACTTCTTTGCTGCAACAGCTCGATAATGACTTATTATGATATAGTACCATATTTGAAAGAAAGGCCCCTGTAGCTAGTATATACTATAGTATTATTAAAATATTATTTTATATATACGTATATTTAAATTTAAATTTAATATATTTATAAAAACTTATTTAAATAATAACTCAATACATATACTCAACACAACACAATAGTCTAGCTGCCCGATATTTGAGAAGTTGTTACAAATTCGTAAAAAAAAAATGGTATCAGTATCGTTTTTTAATTAAATGCTTTGCTTATTGAAAAAGCTGGCCTTTTGGTTGGCACAATTAAATTAGTTCACTATTTTTTGTATTTTGGAAAATTTTTAAAAATATTTTAAGTTTAAGAGTTTAAGCTTTTACTTTTACTATATACTAAGGAATATTCATGCCAAGTTTCAAGTAATTCGACCCATTAAAACTTGAGATATCGTATCGTATCGTATTAATATCAAGTCGTTTCGAGAAAACCACAAAAACTGCCCTAACTTCGAAAATAATTTGATTTTTTAAACCTCTGTTACGAAGATATTTAACATCTAAACTAAAGAATTATTAAAATAAAGCCTCTCGATTTTCTTAAATTTTTCGACTAGAAGACCCCCTTAAACGCGACATTAAAATTTTAGAGATAAGTCGACTAATACGTCATTGAAATCTTCCGAATCTAACTTTCCATTTTGGGAACATATAAATTAATTCATATATATACATATATAAATTATATATAGGTATTATACATATACAAATATATGCATATATACACACATGCATAAACATATTTATATATATATAAAGGTGACTAATACGTCATTGAAATCTATTTGATAAGTACTTCTAATTTCGGGCCTTTATATATATTTAAGTTTTTACTGAGCTGTTATAGATTTTGAGACAAAGAATCTAAGAATAGAAATCCAGTTCTTGTTGCTAATCACCTCTCTCTTATCTCTAATAACCTTTGACAACCCATGCGTACACATTCTGTCTGTAGAATATTTTGGCTTCTTTATATGTGTGGGTATTTCCCTATTCCTTATCAGAAACTCTGAAGCTCAGTCTCAAGCTCAAGGCCGAGGACGGCTTTAAATAGCCGGAGCTTCAAGACTCGCAGCATCAGTTGAAATATTACCAGAGACTCTTTCAGTAGAACCTTCAGATCAATCTAAACAAGAAAGGAAAGCTAACTTCGGGCGGAGCCGAAGTTTATATACCCTTGCAGTTAAAACCGGATATATATCGCAAACACCGGATATAGTTGGCCGATCCCTATGATTACATCATAATAAAACTAATTAACTAAAATAAAAAATCTAAAAAAAGTCCCAAACTTCTATCTTCAAAAATACGAGAGTTGATATTTCTACCAAATACCATTTCCGATCGTTCAGTTATATGGCAGCTATAGGATATAGTCGGCCGATCCTAATGAAATTTGGTAGGTTGGATCAACTGACCAAAAATAGAGTCTTTACTAAATTCCAGCTTTCTATCTTCAAAAACACGAAAGTTGGGTCATTTCCGATCGTTCAGTTATATGACAGCTATAGGATATAGTCGGCCGATCCTTATGAAATTTGGCATGTCGTATTATTTTGCCAAAAATTTCACCTAAAATTTGAACTCTCTATCTTTAAAAATACCAAAGTTATACCATTTCCGATCAATCAGTTATATGGCAGCTATAGGATATAGTCGGCCGATCCGGGCCGTTCCGACTTATATACTGCGTGCAAAGGAAAGAAGGGTGTGTGCAAAGTTTCAAGACGATAGCTTTAAAACTGAGAGACTAGTTCGCGTAGAAACAGACAGACGGACAGACAGACGGACAGACAGACGGACAGACAGACGGACAGACAGACGGACAGACGGACAGACGGACATGCTCATATCAACTCAGGAAGTGATCCTGATCAAGAATATATATACTTTATAGGGTCGGAGATGTCTCCTTCACTGCGTTGCACACTTTTGACCAAAATTATAATACCCTCTGCAAGGGTATAAAAATACAAGATGATCTTCCCAGTGGCCCTCCTTGCTGCCTTTATCCTTTTTCCTGCCACCTTGGGATCGGAGGAAGTAAGTAATCGACTTTTTTAGTGTTATGTTTTAAAAGTACTTTAAATTCAAACGTAAAATTATACTTCGAGAAGTGCCACGAAAAGGATGCTCAACTATTAAAGTGCCAGACAGACTTGCATAACGATGGCCTCGAAAAATATGCCCAGATATTAAAATGCCAACAAGATTATTCGCACTTGGTGAAATCGAATCTGGAAATGCAAAATAAATATACGGAAGTGCTCAGTCAACTTATGGATGAGAAAGTAAAATATGCGCAGTTGCAATCAAAGCAACAGGAAGTTGACAATCTAAAAGATTTCATAAATCAAAAAAATAAGGAAATCGACCTCCTAAAAGATCAAATTAAGGAACTAAAATAAAAAAGTCAACTTGCAACGTTGACTAAACCGATCCGCGAAGACATTGATAAGTTGGGAAAACTAGTGAAGATTGGAGGAATGGATGAAAATAATGTAACAAACTCGGAAGTAGAAACTGGGGAGGTCCCAACAACTCCACTGCCTAATAATATGAATCAAACGACGTCGAAAACAGAAACCATAGGTGAGTCGGCAGAACACAATCATTTGCAAATTAAAACAACGAATTTTTAAGCTTTTCCAGATTCGTGTTCACGAAACCAAGAAGAAGGCAGAGCCATTCGCGAAATCCAACTTCCAGGCTCAGACTCGTTTAAAGTGGTTTGTGTTTCAGATTTGGAGTTTGGATCTGGATGGTTGAATGTTTATACCAAATGGCATCATTCAAACATATTGAATCTCACGTATGAGGATTATGAACGTGGATTCGCAAAAGTAGGAAATCGTAGGATCGCTGATATCTTTATTGGACTCAAACGATTGCACACTCTGACCAATGGAAAGCCTTATGAAGTGCTTTTCTAAACAATGGATATTTCTCAAAGTTGCGACAAATTTGTAGTGGGTGATCGAAGCGAAGGGTACAAGATAAAAAGTATTGGCAATTGTACTGGAGACGACCTATGGCTGAGCCCTAAGCAGGGTTCCAAATTTTCCACCTACGATCGAGATGAGGATGGAGTTCCTGATCGTAATTTGGCGATGGAAGTGGGCTTTGGCTGGTGGTTCGATCCTTGTATGAGGTGTGTATTCTAAATTTGTTTTTCCTTTTGTCTCATCCCCAACTGGACATTTCTCTAAATAATTTGTAAATTCTATTTTTTCATTGCGGAATCTATTAGCCCCGAAATTGATGATTTACTTATACTCATCCGAAGAACAGATTAAAGAAAATAAAAAGGCTTTTAAAACGGACTTGGAAAATGTAATATTTTTGATACACTAAAATGTAACTATAATTTTTTTAATATTATGAAGATGATTATAAGATAAACTGTAATCATGTATTTGAATTTTGAATAAAATTCCCGAATAAAATATGTAAAAAGCTATCGAAAATAATAGTTTTTAATAGAAAAGAAGCTCGGAAAACAAAATTTTGAATTTCAGAAATTTCAGGATCAGCTCCAACGAAACCTTTTGAAAAATAAATAATCGACTCTGGTTTAGGTGAGGAAAGTGGCTAACAAACAGCTGGAAAATTATTTCTTTTGGAGGTAGGCCCCTCTTTATATGAAAATGTGAAGCAGTCTCTCAACCTTCTATGTATGTCTACATCACACAAGTTACGGGATAGGCGATCGTTCGGTTATATGCGAGTTATATACATACATCATACCATATCCACCTCCGTTCAACTGAAACTCCAAATATGTATAAGCTTTGCTTTCCTTTCTTGTTAAAAATTTAAATAGTAGCTGATCTGTAGGAAATGTACATATGGATCCCTTTCCTTATAAATAGTATTAATAATCTAGTGAATAATCTATTAAAAAGAGCTACATATTAGCAGGATCTCTAAAATGTAATTTAGGACAGTTCTAGATAAAATATTTGGATGTATTTTGAAAAATAGTTTTTTAACCAACTTGTCTTGGAACTTTCGTGAAAGCATGATAGAGCAGCACTATTTGAGGGAAAATCCTTTGCTTAAAATGTAATTCAACAAGACCCATTTTTAGAAACCTTTAAAATTTAAACATAAAATCTCAATTTTCAATCAAAACAATATCGATTCCCTTTACAAATGACTTTTATGTTCTAGCATAAAAAATCAAAACAATAAAAATCGCTAGGATTTTTTTTTGCTTGGGAACCCCTCATGTCATTAGACATGCCGAATTTATGATTCTCGACTGTGATTTCTCTGCTATTATTATTGTATATGTATATGTATATATTTTTTTTGGGTTGTTCCTTCCAGCCACCACCCACTGCCGTGCCCCCTCAAGGATGCGATGATATTTTTTTTTTCGTAACCCTTTCGGCAACGCCGCCACTGATGTCGCACACAAACTCATAAATTGTATAAATTGTTGGGCTATTATTTCTCGTGGCTGTCATCGCAATATTGCAGGCAAATTGTCCTGGACACTGACGACAACATGCTGGTGAATTGCTGGCAGGATAAGGCTGAGGGAGGTGGAGGTAACTTTTGTATTTCTGTAATATATATTTAAAATGTATATTTTCTACAAATTTGTAAAAGAAGTTCCCTAAAAGAAGCTTTCTTGCTTTCAATATAGTACTTTACAGTACTATAAAATACTACACTTGCAATATATCCGGTTTGGAATTGAAATATTCAAAAGCTAAGAATTGTATTTATAGGGATATTATAAATAGGGATATTGTTAAAATTTGTATGGAAATTAAAATGTTTTGAAAATCCTAGCTGCGTCTAATTCTTAAAATCAAAATAAGGAAATTTACTTATGCAGAACGAAGAAAAATAACAGCACACATTATTCAAAAATTGTTAATAATTATAGATCATAACGTTCTTTTCAATTTTCAATATAATTTCTGGCAATTCAATGCAATTTTATACACTAATCTTATCCTTTGTTTGGAGAGTTATTTTTGTCAAGTAAACACTAGATTTATGAGTGGTATATGGTTTTTTAAAGATATAGTTCTTATAGGTATGTCTATGTATTCGGCTTTAAATTTCATACTTTTATTTGTTGAATTTAGTCTCATAATATTTAAACATTTGAAGACTATATTTGTATCTATTATTGGTATTTTATTCTGTAGCACATTTTGCAATATTGCAGCTTGCATTTCTATCTTTAGAAGCCAACCCCTGTTTCAATTTTTATGACACTCGTTTATGTTGCATTTTTTCCCATTTTTTTCGGCAATTTTTGGCAATTGACTTTCCAGCCTTGACTTTCGCCAAATGACATAATCAGGGTCCCCGCCCTGTCAAGGGGTGGTAGGCCAGGTAAGCTAGGGTTACGTCCAACCATTGTAACCCTAAAAATCCACTGACACCATAAACCCAAAAAAAACAAAAAAATATGCAATTTCGCAAGAATTTTTGCCTAACCCTCCTTAAATCCTTTTATTTTTTTTTTTTCGCTGTTTTTCGGGGAAAATTGTAACCGTTTTTTTTGGGTGATTTTCCCCTTTTTATGTTCATTTCCCTTAAATGGTTAGAAAGTCAATTGTTTTATGGAAAGAGGGAAGCAAACAGGACAGAGGGTGTGGCAATACAAATATCTATCTTTTGGATGCCCAATGCTACTTTTGGGGAGAAAGCAGGCCGTGATTTTAATTTTAGTTTTGATAGAAAACGATTTCGTTTCAGAATTTCAGTCTCTAGCCGGTTACTGGCTCCTCAACAACCCAACAAAATTATTTCATTTTTTTTTTGGCAAAGTTAGTAAACAAAATATTACAGAAATTAAATTATTTGAGAAACAAAAAACGAAAAATTCAAGTGAAATAAAAATAAAATAACTTTTGGACATTTTTTTTGTAGATTCGAAAGATAAAAGTACAATCATGCAACGCACTGCCTTCAAAGCTGCCTGCTACCGGGTCCTTTCCAAACTGAACTTGCAACAAAAGCCGCAGCAGCGCGACTACCATCAGTGCCCCGTCCTGATGCAGGATGGGCAGGACGGTGGCACTACCGAGAAAGCGCCCCGATCCTTATTCAGCTCGCTGGACCTGCTGGGCAGGTTGTTCCACGGACGGCTCTATCTGCTGGGCGGTCGTCCGGTACCGCCGCGCTTCCTGCGCCTGCTGACGGGCGACCGGACGCTCAGCTTCAGCAGCGACGAGGACGAGGAGTTCCGCCGCCAGCTGGGCATGCAGCTGAAGGAGCTGCGCGATGTCCTGCGCGGCAACCAGGAGACGGAGGACCTCGATCTGCCGCAGGAGACCGAAAGTCAGGAGGAGGCGGGCCCCTACGCCTCGGCCGGTTCAGAGGCCTTGACCGATGAACTGACTGAGAAGGATCGGGAGGACATACGCACCATTCGTATGGCCAAGCGCAGCGAGGGGGGCGACGCCGAGACCACCGACGAGATGCAGAAGATGGCCGAGCAGTCGGAGGTGACGAGCGAGGCGGAGGATCAGGTCGAGGAGGAGGATGTCACCCGATCGGAGTCCGAGGAAGTGGCCGATCCCCACCATCAGATGCGCGACGGAGAGGTCGAGGGCGTCTACTGGACCGGCGAGGGTGAGCGCATCGTCACCGTCAAGGTGGAGAAGCCCCGTCGGGGTCCCTCCGGTTACATATCCGGCGAGGGCGAGGAGGTGCCCGCCATCGAAGACAGCCCCATGCCCGGTCCGCGCAGTCAGGTCCAGGACCAAAATCTGACCTCCGACGCCGATTCCGATGAATAATCATTAGCCAAAGGATCATCCATCCGGCAGGACATTGAAAACTAAAACCCGATACCATACCACATACCAATACTATACTATATTGAAGGCAAGGCAACGAAATAAATATACAAAAGGCTAAAGACAAACCAGAATCTGGGGACTGTCCCGCTCTTTCTTGGTAAAACGATCGGTTTTTATGGTGAGCGGTTTTGCGGGTTGCATTCTGTTGTGTCATCTATAGGCGGGCCTACCTGTACGCGCTTAGCAAACTTTATGCAACGCCAAGGATGCAATTAAACGCAAGGAGTCAAGGACGTTCTACCTGTCGGCGGGAAAGTAAGGTAACACACGCTTCCCACACGCTTACCACTCCTTTCTTCTTTTTAGCCTTTTGGGAAATCCTTTTTTTTATGTCGGCCTCTGGGTGGACATTTTCCTAAACAAAAATCATTGCCTTCTTGGGGAACTGCTCGGGGTATCCTGATTTTGTACGCCAGCCATGATTAATGACATTTTGGCAATCTTTTCTGACCCCAAGGAACCAAAACACCGGAAATTAAATTTGTGTGGAAATTAGTCACCTTGTTTGCAAGGTTTTTTCTTAATTTTTTTTTTTTGGAGATACACCCCCATAGTTGAAACAATTTGGGGGAAATTGTGGGAAAAATTGGAATGGAACAGATCCAGAACTGGAGAACTTGGAAATAAATATTAAAGAATTGAACTGAAACTCTTAATTCTAAAATATTATATATGTCTTATATGTCTCCATTGAGAAATAAATAAAAAAAGAAAGTTCCAGGCTGTAACTGCCTCTAAAAGAGATTAGATACTATAGATGGCTTAGTCTTATAACTCAAGATCTAGAGTATTGAAACAAGGATCCAGATATTTAAATGAAACTCTAAATTATTTGCCCCAGATACTAACTAGCTTTAAAAGAAACTAGAGTAGGGTTAGATAACTCTTATAACTGTGGAACTGGAGTACTTAGAAATAAATTTTTAATGATTGAGCTGAAGCTTTTAAAACTAATATATCATAAAGGTCTCTTGGTAATTATAGGTCTCTTAGGTCCCAGGGACTAACTGGTTTAAATAGAGACTAGATACTATAGATATATTAGTCTTGTAACTCTATAAAAGGATTTTTTTAATACAGCAACGATACGATTTCAAAAAGAACAAAAAAAGCAAAGCCCCAGGCTCAAACCCTGAACAAAATTTGGTATAATCCTTATAGACAGCGTCTTGAAAGATTTGGTCTTAGAACTCTAGAACTTAATATTGTTTCAGTATAACTATAGTATTGAAGCTATAGTGCTATTTTAATATAAAACCACGACCATCTGACAGTACGATACTAAGATAGTATTATAATAGTTCATAATGTATGATATTATAATGCATTTAAGTTTAAAATAAAATAAAATTTATATATAAAGCACAGATTTATTAAATTCTTTAATTTCTTTTCAATAATCCTACAACTACAAAAGATTTCTATAAGATCTCTTGCCCGGCTGGCATACAAAGCATTACTCTAGTAATATCGACATCCTCGCCTCGAAAAATTAATTATATTCCTAATGGCATTATTAAAAATCTGGCTGTTGAAAAAAAAGACATCTCGGTAGGCAATCATCTCTTACAAGTTAATTGACCAAATCGAAACGAGTTGAGCTGAGAAGCTGGCAGAATGCCCCCTGGAATGGGCAACAAAACGGGGATCAACCCTAATCCCCTGCTGCCGTCAACTAATTGACTTATTGATGGCCTCATTAACCGAACTCAACCTGTCGAGGTCCTGTGCCCCGATACCAGAGAAAAATACCATCTTTTCATAAAATAGGCAAACAAAACAAACCAAAAAAGGGAAACGCTAAAATACAAAACACCACAAAAAAAAAAATAAAATCAGAAACCAGGGGCACATTAATCAATTCCAATCAAACAATGAGCGATTCACCCGAACTCGAAATGTTTTCCGTAAACAATTGAGGCTCCCGAGGTCTTCAATGAAAGTGAACAGGTTGTTGGGAATCAAATCCCAAAAAAAAAAAAATTGGAAATGAGAAAACAAAACTGGATATCAAGAACTGTGAACTATGAACTGAGAAATGTGGAGAAAAAAAAGAGAATCCATGGAATCAAGAACAGAGAACTGAGAATTCGGTTAAAAACAATAACAAGGAAATGGTCAGGATCACGGGGTGTGTGTTGTTTGTTGGCTCAATCAATGCCAGCCAAACAAGTGTTATGAATGATTTGATGTTTTCATTTGTCCACCCCGGTTTTTTTTTTTTTTTATTTCTTTTCCTTTTCTGGATACTGGTTTTGAAATGAAAACCCCAAAAATAAACCGCACAAAGGAGCCCTCGGAACGAGAGTGAAAAATCCCCGATAATAGTTTTGGATTTCACTTTTAGAGCCCTTTTGCACCAGACTATCTGGCACCGATACCGATGTGTCCGATGATTTATGAGGGTAACCCCCCCTATTTTCAATTTTATTCGTTTCACTATTGCGTTGCCAAGACCACGGATTTGAGTTAAGAAATCATGAAAAATGTTTCAATAAACTGTCGCAGGTTCAGCGACTCAATGGGAGGTCTGGTCTGTCAACCAAGTTTTTTTTTAGGGAGGTTCGTAGGGAGAGGTTTTAAATATAAATATATAGTCTTTAAATAAATAATTGAAAAATGATATCCTATATTACAATGTAATATTAAATATTCGTTTTATAAATGTATCTGTGTTTTCTTTATGATTATATATTCAATAACTAAACTTACCTTAGTCCTTTTATTATATTATATTTAGTTATTCAAAGTGATCATCTCTATAAACAAAGATCCTTCGAACGAAATCCAAATAACTGTAAGTATGCATTACTAATACAATCCACACATATACATAGCTGCTGTTGGAGCCTCGAAATATGCACACATAAAGGAAGAAACTGGAAAAAGGAAAATATTATATATATTTTACTTCAGAAACCCCAGAAAAAGTTACTTCAGAAACCTAATTAAAATTATTAGAAGTTTACACAAATAAATGTAATTTAGTTTTTAATATTCTTAAAGCCTTGAGTTTTAATATCCTGCAATAACTCACCTCTTTACTCGCGAAGCCTTAAGAACGGACTAAGGAACGCTACAATTATTAAAGCGAGAATAAGAAAAGGGGAGAGCAAGTGTAGGCGTCAGGTTTGGAGCAAAGAACAACAAGAGGAAGGATCCTAAAAGGAGAGAGCCACAATTGGAGAATACAGTTTTTGAAGCTGCGACGCCATTTAAGCATTGAGAGAAAATAGTCGAGAGCGGGTGTAAGCGAAAACGCCATTTAAGCACCGAGAGCGAGAGAATGGGTGGGAGCAGATGCAGCTAATGCGAAAAAATAGGCAAAGCAAAGGATAAGATGTGGGATCCTTAAAGGGAGAGAGATGCATATCAGAGAGAGAGTGATGCGAAGCCTTAATTAAGAGAGCTAATATCAGCTCAAAATGTAAGAAAAATAAAAAAAATTTGAAGCATTTTAATGAAAAGGTCACCTCTCTACCAATTGACTGCATGACCTTTGATCTGTATTGCCTGGCGTGACCCCCATAATTATGGCCTTTGATTGAAAGGCACTGGTGACTGATTTTTTGGGCAATTAAAATTTCACGCCATGGCAACATGTGAAAAGATACCAAAAATGATGTGTGGGCGTCAGGTGGTGCCACCACTGGTGGTGGTTTCCTTTCTCTTCTCTTTCTCTTACCTTTTTTTTTTTTTGGTAAAGATGGTATGCCCCGCGTTGCACTTGTTTGACGCGAAATTCGCAATGCCCGGGTTATAAATGATATTCTCAGTAACTATTTTCACCCCTCATTTCCCTCCTCACTCCAACCTCCCCCTTTTCCGACTTTCCCTCTTGCCCCTTTCTCTTTCCAGTTTTTCTCAATTTTTTTTTTCTTCTCGGTTTGGTGATAACGTGAAATAATTGCGTGACAACCATGTTGCGATAATTTTCAATTAAACTGCGTTTTCCTTTTTTCCGCCAAGGATACAAAAAAAAAAAAGAATGGATGTGAAATGGTGATGGCGATGGAGGGGGAGGGTAGAAGAATGAGAAGCGTGAAATTTCATATTAAAATCAACTGATTTTCTGCTTTCATTTATTCATGCTACTGCTCCTTGTTTCGTTTCTCTTCGGTGTCGCTTGTTCTCTATTTGTTGGTGCTTTTTGTTTTTTATTTTTATTTATTTTAATTTTTTTTTCTGCTACCACAAAATACACTGATAAGAAAATGAGCAAGTAATGCTCATACTATATGCAAATATGTATAGTATATGCTTTATTATAGTATTCTATATACTATATATATATATATATATATGCTACGAATATACTAAATTCTAAGTCATTTATAACTAAAAAGTTATTTATTAAAATTATCAGATAATTAATAATTTTAAAACATTGCTTAATATTAAACACCTTTTAAATAATTTTTGTATTAGGGTTAAAGTTTCGTCCTTTTAAAGGTTTCTTTAGAATCTTTCTAATTTGAAGTTATTCTTAGCCCTTTTTTATACAATAAAAACATTTATTTAATTTTATAAAATATGATTTATTTATATTTGATTATATCTGTATTATAAAATGATTGAAAAAGTAATCTTTCATGGTAGTTTTTGTTAAAGTTTTATGATTTTCTGAAAAACCTTTAATTTTTGAAAGTATCTTTTTTGTCTGAAAAAAAATTGTTTGAAAAAATATTGTTTTTTAATTTTGAAGTCCTTAAATAACAAAGAACTTAAAATTTATGAATGAGACTTAAAAAGAAATCAATATCTTATGAAAAATCATTAAAAAATAGGCCTAGAAAGCAATCCAAAACTTATTCTTAGTCTTTATATGAAACTTATACATTTTAACTCTTCCCTAAATCATAAAAAATGTCTATAAATATTTTTAAAATATTTTAATAAATATGGGAAAAGCTCCCTAAGAACACCCCTGACTCGACCCACAAGACTTCAAAATTAACTGTTTAATAAATATGGGAAAAGCTCCCTAAGAACACCCCTGACTCGACCCACTGTTACTGCACCTTGTTGACCCACTGTGCCGGAAGACTGTTGGTGGGGCGAGGTGAGCGTC